TCTTTATTGTGTGCATGATGGCTATTATTATAACTGCATGTTATAAAAGATTAATCAGTAGTAAAACCAAATTAAAGATTCTCATGTAAAGAATTTTTAGAGAAATCAACTTCTGGTCAAAAAAATCCTCCTTTAACAAAACCTAAAATCTCATTCAACCATTGCTGTCTATAATTGCAGGAAGCATTCAGAGGCCGTATTTTCCAGAGACTTCAAGTAGCAAAAAAGTGGTGACAAAATTGAAAAGGGAGGAGAAATTTTGTTTAAAAATTTTAGTATTAATAATAGAGAGCATACATTCACTCATGTCTGATTTTATATATGGATATTTTAGATTTATATAAATACATGTATTTTATATTCTATGTAATATGAACTATATTTACTTAAATATATTGATAATATTGTGATCTGTTACATATGACATATATAAATATATATGTTTATGTGTAATAGAAAACACACTTATTTAATGTCATATATATTTATACAAATCTAAAAATATATATAAAATATAAATTCACATATTTAAATATTCATGTATACATGTATATATTTTACACATATATACATATACACATAAAAATCAGCTATAAATCTGCATGTTACCAATTTATTATATATACATGTATACATATGAAATACATATATATTACCTGTAAATATAACTTTGAGAACAAAATTGGATTTCCAGGCAGTAAGAAAGTAGGGAGGAAGCATACTTTATGAACAACAAATTTTAATGAGGCTTCTTGATCTAAACAACAAAAAAATCAAAACTGCATTTTCTCAGTAAATATGTTTTTTCTGTATTTTAGGTCTCAGGAAGTCAAGGCAGAAATGCTTCATAAGTAATGCTCTTCATTTGATATCACTACAACTATATTTTTTTACAAATTGTACTGTAAGTTCTTATTCACTAAACATTAATAAGCATGAAAAATCTTTGCGCTCTGTGAAAGAATAATAATAAACAGATTTTTCTCAACAGACATGAATAACAACTTTCACAATAGTTTGGAAAAGAAACTAATATTTGTATATTTTTTGTTTGTCATAAATAAATTCATTACTGGGATCTGATAAGTTTCACTTCTAGACCACATGACATTTTTAAGTTAGAAGTCATATACCTATGCATTTAAAAAAAAATAACATTGAAATTCTCGCTTTAAAAATTCCCCAAATCTGCACAATAATAGATCCTTTGGAAGTATCAGGAAACATAGAAGAAAAGGAAAATAAGACATTCTTTGTACTATTATAATTCAACTCACAAATTAGCACCCCAGAGATGAGGAAAATATTGTCAAAATAATTGTTTTCTAGTTAACAATTAACATCTTATAATGTGACTTCGCTAAGTCCACAGGCTCCTTTTTCTTTATAATTTCACCAAGTATCCTCAAATCCATTCAAATGTTATTTATTTTAGATCTATTCCCTCATCCATCCTCATTTTGACAATTTTTCAAAAACACTGAAATAAGTAGCTCTGGTAGTTTATTTAGGAAAGAATATTAATTTATGATCACTTAAATTCAACTTCCTCAAAATTTCTTTATAAAAGCTGTCAATCCTGCTATAGGAACCTCTTGGCTCTACGATGAGTATAATTTTTTCTTTAAAATTTGCAAATTTCAATGACACATAGTCCATGATAGAAGTTTTAGTATTTTGCTGGGGAATTAGTAATACCTGTTGCCTAACATGTTCTATGTAGTGTCCTGCTTCGTTAAGTGCTAAGATATTTGTCTCCATACTGGTGATTGCTGAGTCTCCTCATTCTTGTAAATTTCCAGGCATTTTTCTTACTACATGGAGTAGGGTGTTATGTTGATAGATTCTGATGACATTTAAATATGATTACTGATATAATTAGAGGATAAGAAAAAAATCGCAAAGCCTCCCATTTCTTTGAAATTGTGTAAACAAAATTGTCTTGGCATGACACCCCAACTAAAATTAAGGATATGCCAACACTTAAATATGTAAATCTATTTCATTTGCATAAATATTGAGTTCCATTTGTTACCACACACAAGTAGCATCTTAAAATTTAAATTGTTTTTATTTATTGAATTTTATAACTTTGAAAGATAATGTACTGTGATTCAACTTGAGCATCACTTATATTGCTTACAGCAATTTAATCTTAAATATTTGATTATATAATAATACTAAACAAATACCATTATTAGTTGCTTTTGGAAGATATTAGGGAAACAACTCATTATTCTGAAAAGCAGTAAAGAAAGGGAAAGAAACATTTATTCCACCTTTCTGTTAAGAAATGTACTTCAGGACCATCAAATGATTGATGAGGAATTTCTCTTTATACAAGTAACTGAACAAATAAAGGAAAATGGAATGACAATTACAATAACCCTAAATTAATTACTGGATTTAAGCAAAGATCAATGGCTTTAAACTAAACAAAAAGAGAAACAATTATACATTATGTGTCTCTTGATAGAAATATGCATCATCAGCTATGATAGTCCTTTGAACCTGAGTCTGATCAACTCTGTATCTATTGATCAGTTTACAGAAATGTAATACAGAAAAGGCAAATGTATTTTTATGTTTTAAATGTATTAAATGACAGTATGAGGTGCAACTGGAAAAATTCATACTGTAGATAGCATAGAACAAACAACTTAGTTTCTTGCCCAAATAAATTGAAAGGAAAAGATAAAAACATGGACAAATTCAGACATAATATTACATAGTATTTTTGGACACCATGTTTTACTATTTGTGTTCCGGAGATCTTTCCTGTCAAGTCATTAAGAAAGAATTAAGATAGAGATGTATCTTCCTTTCTCATTTTTAAACTATCGTTTCTCTTTTCTAAGGTAACAAAAACAGTAATAACTCAAGCTAGAAAGCGGTCTCTTTTCCACTGAAAGATGAGACAAAGCAAGCCTGTAAAATTCTTTACATCCTCGAGTAAGGACAATCTTTCCTTTCCTATCCTGAAGTCCTGTATTAGTCTGTCAGGGATGCCATAACCAAGTCCACAGACTGGGCGACTTAAACAACAAAAATAACTTCTCACAGTTCTGGAGGCTAGAAGTTCAAAATCAAAATGCTGACAGGTTTGGTGTCTTCTGAGGCCAGTCTCTGAGGCTTGTAGATCTCACATTTTCCTTGTGTTCACACATTGTCTCCTCTATGCACATGAACCTCTGGTGTCTCTCAATGTGTCTTGTTTTTCTTACATGGACACCAGTCACATTGGATTAGGACCCACACTAACACCCTTATTTGCACTTAATCACCTCTTTAAAGGCCCTATCTTAATACAGTTGCGTGGTAAGGTACTAGGGGTTAGGGCTTCATGAATTTTGTGGAGGGGAAACATTTCAGCTAATAACAAATCCACTCAGAATCTTTTATTTGCAACATCAGTGCTATATTAAAATGTTTAAAATGGTTTGAAACTTAGAAAACAAACTTCAGTGTTAGCTCAAAAGTTAAACACTGGAAGCTCATAAAATTACAGAAGCTACACTTTGCAAGCAGTATCTCTAATCACTTGACTCTCAGACTCCAATTCATCAGGACTATGCTCTCCTCTATGAAGCCACGTGACCATTGAGCCCTGGAAATGTGGCTGGTCCAAACTGAGATGGGTTATAAATAAAATCACTGGATCTCAAAGGCTTTGCAGGAAAAAAATGTAAAGTATCTCAGTAATTCTTGTATTGATTACATGTTGAAATATTTTGGATACATAAATTATATATAAAAGTTAATTTCACCTCTTCCTTCTTTTTAAAATATACTGTTACTAAGTAAGTTTATAATTACATATGTGGTTATCATTATTAAATGTATTGGCTATCGCTTTCCAAAACACAGGTATCATTTGAACTAAGACTTGCTTTGAGAGCTTTCTTAGGCTTTCAATTTATAACTCTTCCCAAGAATCCATTCCCTTTTCTACCCACTAATTACCCAGCTACATAACTTTAGCACTACATCCAGTTCTTAACACATTTCCAAACCTAAGGACACTTGTTCACTTGTTCGGAAGAAAGTAAGGTTAATTTAACAAATTCAGTTGAAATATGTTACATATATTTAAATCCCTAGTGGTGAGTAATCATGCTGCCTTTCACCTTTCCCCAGAAATGAGAAGTTGCAATAGCAGCAATTGACAAAGATTATCTCATTTTTCACTTATTGGTAGTACTTAACTAGTCTTATGCTCTAATTTTATCAAAACACTAGAACTGGGCTTATCAGGATTTCTAGAAATTTTGCCGTTATGTTATATGCTTGTAGCTGCTAAATCTTACGGTAAGGTAGACATTTTTAAAGTGATGTTGAGCAGTTTAGAAGAACAACTGGGTATTTCAGGACCAGTAATTTTATCACTTTTGCAGGAACGTAAAATATGGTTAACACTCACACTTTTTAAAACTACTTATTTTCCATTTTTAAAAATAGCATTGTTGAGTGTAACTTAAAAGAATGCTCAAACTTGAATCTACAGGGACTGGGAAATTTTGGGTTGTAAGCATTTTAAAACTATTTGGTACACTATGCTTTAAGCCCTTTCATAATGCTGGTAAATGGAAAGGAAAAAAAACTGGTCAATTTGCAGTGAATGATTAAAGGACAAAAGCTAGTAACAGTCTTGTTACTTAATGAATTTTTTAATTTTCAAAGCTAACTTGGGCAATGTGAAACTATATTCCCCTCCTAAAATGTCTGAATACAAAAGCATCCTCCCCCCAAATTATTAATTGCAAAAATTGTTTATATTCATGACAAAACATAAAAGGCAATTTCTCAAATGTATTCAGTTTCGTAATTGTTCGTGAGCATGACTCACCTTCAATGAATTTTAAATCTTGAGTATAATGTCAGGCATACCTCCCAAGTCTCTTAAAATGATACTTACCATCAAAACTTCAGACTTAAGATTTTTTTCTAAAACTTGGATTTTAAAATTAAATTTGTAAGAAATCTTATTTTAGCAAGATTGATTATATCAACTGGTAAAACTTTATTTTACAAGCAATAGGAATTGGATGAAATGATTATTATAATCTAGAGGAAGTATTCTGTAACCATAGCAAATGCCATTATACATACTGCCAATACACATTTAATAGACAATACTGAACTGTACAAGAGTTTATTTTTCCTTAATCTCAAAGCTATTTTTAGTAATACAAAAAGCCATATTAACATTTTCCATTAGAAAACAATGTGATGTACAAAACTTTGGATGAAAAGATATATCAAATTTCATTTAATCACTTGGTGGAAAATCCACCACTCCATCAATACCACCCAAAGTGTATTAGGCAATGGTTAAAATAAAAATTAACGCATCTTAATAAATTCCAGCTGTTAAAAGAACAAACCTAGCAATATAGTTGGCTACACATTATTTTCGACTATTGAGGAGCTACTTTCTGAAATCCTTTTCTGAGTCCTGCCATGTACCAGGTATGGTACTTGGCCAAGTAGGTATTTGAAAAAAGTTGGCAGGTAGGGCGAGAAAGACCCTATAAAAAAACCATCCTTTGGTTACCAGATTTAACTTTTAACTTTCAAAAATCCTTCAAGATCAAGAAAACCCAACTAAAAGTTCCAAATGTTATTTCATTTTATTAGTGGGAAGGGCGTTTGATAAGGAGATCCCAGACTATTACTTATGATCCATTATTCCAATTAAAAGCACGTAAAAATCCAGTTTTTTCACAGTAAGTTTTAAGTTTTGGCATTCGGATATTACAGATATGGTTCACTGACTTACTGTGAACCCTTCAAGGCACACTGCTCAGAAACAGCAGAGCCAAGTGTCCATAAACAAGTTTTCTTACACTTAATGTAGTAATGGTATTTGGTACACATCTTTATCTTAAAGTTCAATTCAGTTTAGGGTCCAGCAAATAAAAAAAATCCAGTTATGGGGTGGTAAAGACCAAAGGTGGTAAACTAGTAAGGCTTATTCTATATAAGTATCATCTTTTCCTTTGAGTAACAACATGCTAACACACACTCTCATTTAAAAAATATTGTTTGCAACTATTGAGGCAAGTACTAAATGCCCATAAACTGACAATGTTGCCATTCATCACCATTACTTCATTACATAAGCCTGTTTTCCTAAGGTATAGCACAAAATCTAAGCAATAATCTGGAAATCAGCCAAGCACTAAGCAACAATGGCAGATAATACACCATCAGTTTTTGGAAACACATTTGGCTACTTTTAATGACCCATATACAGTTTAAACAGACTCTCACCAGTAAAAATTTAAGTTTCTAGACCTGTATGACAAAAAATGTAGTTTAATTAAATTTTCATATAAGACATTTAAATAGTCTTTAGGTCTTACCACTTTTGTATTAAATGATTTATTCTGACATGCTATATAACTACAATGAAAATAACTGTTGTTTTAAAATGAAAACTAAATGGATAAACAACAGATTTGACATGGAATGTTTTAAGATCTTCCTGTTTGTAATCTAACACAGATGATTATGAATTTCACAATTTCAAAGCTTCAGATTAAAAACCACAAGAAAATTTACCCTTGATGGCATGCCAGATCTTCCTCAAAATTAACCTAAGACCTAGAAGTCTCAGTATTTTATCATAACATAAAGAAACACAACAAATTTGTACATTTTATTCACATTTATTTTTTGCTTTTAGTGTGCTCACAGAAAATTAGAACACCTTAAGCTGGAGTTTAATAGCAATTTTTGTAAGCAAAGTTACATTCCATCTCTAAGTCAAATTGGTCAAAGCTTCTCCAGTATTTACAAAACATGATAGACAAGATGCTACACAAAAACCATTGCATCTGAAGATTTTTTTTCCTTTATTCTCAAAGACGACTGGAAAAGAAAGCATTGTCTGCTGTAATCAAAAAACATACCACAGTATAAACAGTAACCATTCCACTTATCACAGCTTGGTTGAGTTTAAAATTTTTGTTTAAAAGGTCCAAGATGACTGCAGTTTTACAAAAATGGGCAGGGTGGAAAGTTGCAAACTTCATGTGCTTCTGTATATCAAGATTTGTTTTTATACAATAGTCACAGTTAAAAACACCCTGCTGGTAATACATAATTATATTTTATTAAGGTCATAAACCAGCAATAAACAATAAAGCCTATACAACTTGTAGTTCTACTTAATCACTGACTGGTACAGCTAACATGAGATAAGTGAAAAGTTCCTATGGTTTAAATGAACTCCTAAGACTATGTATGATCTTTTTTAAAATCTGGGTATTGGTGTTTTCTCTTTCCTTCTTAGTCAAGACTTGTAGTGTTGTAAACCTGCCTCACAAAATACACCGTAATAACTTTTCTTAAAAAAAAAGAAAAAAAGACAGCCTTTACATCATCATTTCTAGTGGCACCTTACTCTTGGCAATGTTATGTACCACTTCAATTTCCCCTTCGTGGCCCCTATCACTTCATCTGATATCCCTTTTTGACCCACCCATCTCCTTCATATATATATGGGCATGTCCATAGATTGACAAAGAAAGTTTACATTTTTGAATAAAGATGCAAAGTAGGCAAAAAACATTAATACTGATGCAAAAAAAATAAAAATAAAAGAGAAACAAGGCAGAGGAAGGTGTTTATGCTCTCCTCGACCTGTTGGAATGGTGGTAACAGAATGATGTGAGATGGGATCTGTGAGAGGGGAAAAAAACAAAATTTGCTGCTTAAAAAAAGTAAAATAAAAAAAGACATCTTTAAAATCAATCCCTGGTTGTAGACAAGTTCTCCAAAACCAGTACCTGGCACCACTCCAACAAACAAACGGGGGAGAAAAGTTCTTCGATTATCTCAAAACAATCTTGCCCTTTTACTCTGCCGCCTCCACCGGGGGGGCTTCTGGACTGCATTCTGGCTGGGCCTCCTGTGAGGGCGCCGCGCAAGCTGACGAAGCCGAGGCCTCCTCCGCGGGGGCCGCCTCCTGCTCCGGGGGCGCGCCGGGCCCCGCGGTGGATGGCGCCTCGCAGGCAGCGGGGCCGGCCTCGCCGACCTCCCCTTCGGCCTTGCCGGGCTCCTCGGTGGCCCTGGCCTCCTCGCCGGCTGGCTGCTTCTCGGGCGCGGCGGCGGCCTCCTCGGGCTCGGACCCCTGCGGGTCGCCCCCCGCCGCGCCCTCCGCGGCCTCCTCGCCCAGCGCCGCCGCCTGCTCCCCAGGGGCTGCGCCCGCCTCGGCGGCCGCCTCGTCCTTGCCGCCTTCGGCCGCGACGCCCGCCGCGCCCTCGGCGTCACCGCCCTCTCCCGCCTCCTTCTTGTTCTTCTTGAAGGAGAAGCCGCTCAGCTTGAAAGACTTCTTGAAGGAAAAGCGCTTCTTTTTTTTTTTCGGGGTCTCGTTGCTGGGGGAGGGCGTGGCGCCGTCCTCGGCCTTGGGCGAAGACGTGGAGGAAGCGGCCGACGCGGCCTCCCCCTCCGCGGCCGCGGGCGAGCCGGGCTCGGCGGCCTCCCCCTCCGCGGCGGCGTCCCCCTCCGCGGGGCCAGCCTCGGCGGCGGCGGCGGCGGCGGCCACCGGCTCCTCTCTCTCCGCCGCCCCGCTGCTCGGGGCCGCGGGCTCCTCCTTGTCGGCGGCCGGAGCGCTGCCGTTGGCCTGCAGCTCCTCCTTGGCGCCGGGCTCGGCGGCCGCGGGAGAAGCGTCGCCGTTTACCTTCACGTGGCCGTTTTCCTGTGGGGCAGAGAGAGCGGGAGCATCACTGGGGCGGCCAGAGCGCCGCCATTGCCGCCCCTCCCCGCAGCGGGGGACCGGCGCCCCCGCGGGCGCCTCTGGACTCGGAGTTCCCCCACCCTCTCATGGGGAGGCTGTCTGGGGTGCCCAGACAGCTCTATTAAGAAACGGGGGCACCTCCTTTTGGATGCCCTAAAGGCACAGGAGTAGCCTCCACCACTCAACAAACGCCCTGCGGACTTTAAAAGGGCCGAGTCCGAAATATGGAACGCACTGGGTAACCCATTACAGCCCTTGCCTTAAGGGCTTTGTAAAAAAGGAAGCACGTAATATATGATACACCCGCCAAATGCCCTTTGGAAGAAGGCACAGGGCCAGAGCCAGTAGTCTGTGCCAAGATTACACATCCCCCTTTCTCCCTAAATCCTAAAGGGTTCTTCAGAATCCCCGTGAAGTCCCAGGCAGGAGGCGTTGCAGCGCTCCAGCCTGAACCGCTGAGGCCCCACGCCCATCGGGGTCAGTAGGGGGCGCTGCGCCTCCACCGCGAACAGCGGACGTCGCTGGACAGCCGGGCGCCGAGGGGCGGGGCCGCCATAGGCGCCGCCAAGCCCTGACCGCGCAGGGCAGGTGAGAGTCCTCAAACAAAGCTCAGGTGGCTTCACAGGATTCTGGTCGGAATAAAATCAGCAAGGCTGTACGAAACCCATCATTTATGAGGTCTGGCCTCTGCTTCCACGCCCACCTTCGCCCGTGATTCTGCGAAGCCAAGGCGCTCCTCGCCAGCTCATTTTGCATTTTTAACGGGTTCAAAGCCTCTTGGCAGAGCTGTTTTCCCATTAGGTTATAACAGTTGAAGCAACACGGCCTCTGCTCTAGGAAAAGAGGCGTGGTGGTTGCCTAGCGTTTGCAAAGCAGCCACCCATGGCCAACCTCCCGCACCCACCCTACAGTCTCTATCCGCCTGGGTCTAGGCAGCGCCGGGGCGGCCCCCAGAGTGGCCAAGGAATCAAGCACACAAAACAATCCCGACCGAAACACATGAACCGTCTTTTCCTGACCATCTGGACACGTTCTTCAAGGACCCTACCGTCTTCCTACCCCGGGGATACCATTTAAAACTCAAGATGGTAATTACACAGACAGGTAGGAATAAAGATTTAGAACAGTGGGATAGCCCCACCTAAGATCCTGAACCCCTTCTGCCCCGCTCCAGTCGCCACCTTTCCAAGCCGGGGCACGCTGCCTCAGCATACGATCAGACAGCCCTTCCCTCCCGTCCTTCCTCCCCCACCATCCACAATGCCCCCCGCCCCTCCCCCTGCCCCCACACCGTCACACCAGGGCAGAATCGAGAAGGCGATCCAGTCTCGACAGTAAACACGAAAGCAACCCAAACACCTTTGTGCAACCTGGCTTGGGGGGGAGGGCGGATAGCACCTAGCTGCCAGTCACGTTCTGCCAGACTTCAAACACGCCATTTTAGACTATTTATTACTTCTTTCTTCGCTTCTACACAGGAATTCGTCAAGATTCTCCGGAACTACTCCTCTGAAGTGAGGTGTGGGGGGTGGGGGGAGTGGAGAGCCCCTCCTAGGAGATATTAACAATTTAGGCTATGGCTTTCCATTCAACTTTCAGACTGGAATCTGGCCGCGCTGCTCTCCACCGAATGCGCATCGGGCGCGACCAAGAGGAAGGGAAGCGTCGGGACTAAAGAAAGCCACCAAAGAAATGACCCAGAATCACAGGTAGAATTTACCTGTCCATTCGCTTTGGAAGGCGACGAGGCCACAGCCACCTCCCCGGGCCTCTCTGCGGCAGCTTCTCCCTTCGCAGCGGTCTTGGAGAACTGGGCACCCATGCTGGCTTCTTCAACAAAGAAACTCAACAGATCCAAGAGGTGAACAAAGAGCTTCGGGCTGGTGTAACGACGGGGCGAGCAGCGGCGGCGGCGGCGGCAGCGGCGGCGGCACACACACCAGAGGGAGGGGGAAGTGGGGGTGGTGAGGACAGAACAGGACCGATTAAATACACTCCGGATAAAAAAATTTTGGTCGAAGAGGTAAAAAAGCAGCAGCGCAGGAGGGAGGGAAAAAGGTGGAAAAGTCAGGCACAAAAAAGGAGCCCAAGTGTAGTTAAAAAAAAAAAAAGAAGTAATAAAAAAATCCCAGATTTGTAGCCGCACTGTAGACAAGAGGAAAATGGAGAAATCTCCCTGGTTGCTAATAAGATGCGGGGTCCAACGCCCAAGTGCACAGATGAATGGGCTCGCGGGCGCTGACGCGGCCCCCGCGCGCGCCGGCCAATCGGCGCGCCGCACCCAAAGCAGGGGGCGGGGCCTGCACGAAGGGTGAACAATGGAGCCGCGCTTTGCAAATGGTTTGAAAATCAGCCTCAGACAGAGCATTAATGTCCTCCAAATAAATAAATCAATTAAAAAATGCATGCCTCTCGCCTCTCTGCTTGAAAATAATAATGCATCACTTGATTGGCTTGTTTTGTTTGTAATCAATTAACGCGGGAGGGGGTTTCTTTTGGATGGGGGCGGAGAAAGCGTTAACGTGACTAGCTTTGACTCCTGTAGGTCTATATCCGCGTCCGTCTCTCTCCGCTCGCCCGCCTCCCCCATCTTCCCCGTGTGTTTATGTGTATATGCGAGTATTAAAGACAATGGTTGGGAGTCGTGTGTAGAATGTTTTCTTTCTCCTTGTTCCATATTGGATTCACAGTTACTGCACAGAGTTTGTTTTTTTAACGGTTGCAAATGTTAGGTCGCCCCAAATAGAAAGGTATTTAAACCACGAAGATCGAATTTCATCAAACGAGATCGCGAGTTGTTATTAGGTCTGTAGGCCAGATGTGGAAAATTCAACAGCGGCAAGCAGCCTAAGCCACACTCCCCTATCGCACGCTGACATGAAATACAATATTTCGAGATTGGCCTGTGGCATTCATCAAATCCCCCCACCCCACCCCACCCCCGACTATGTCCAATTAGCGATACCCCCGTACAATACAAAGTGAGGGCCATTTACAAAAGATCGAAACCGTTTGCATTTTATCACTGTATGAAATGACATAATAATTTTCCTCTGGGGAAATGAGACACAGCCTCAAGTGCAGAAATCTATATTTACAGTTGGGATGCAATTCGCGTCGATATGAGTCGTTTTCAGCCGAGTGCCAGGATCGTATGGACTCTGAACGTTTGTGCAAGCAATCGGATGTGCTCCTGGGAGGGAAGCAGCAGCGATGAAATTCTAAACAATTGGATTGACGACAGGTCTAAGGAGAAATTGTATGTTGAGAGATAACAAGATGATCCCTGAATCTTCCAAGTCTAACTTGGGTTAGAGAAAAATCTTCTATAAGGGCACACATGGTGCCTCCATCTGCACCCCTGCCACGGAAGTATCAGACACTATTTGTGTGTGAAAGATAAGGCACCGATTTAAAGAAAAGGGGGAGGGAAGGGGCAAAATCAAGGATACAGTCTAAGCGTTCTGCTACATTTTTGCTTCCAAAGTTTTCGCTCTTGTCCAAATGAGACCATCTTTTCTCGTTTACATGTAGCGATCCTGCAATGCATAATCTTTCGCTTATGGAGGTAAGCAGTCGAGGGAATGGTTCACTTTTCCTGGTGCTGGCTCTGAATTCTGTTTTATTTTCTGCTCATTGTAGGGAAATGGGTCACACTCTTAGTGAAAAAAGATGGTTGGTTCATGCCAATAACTGTTGAAGTATTGCTTTTAAAGCTGCACATCGTTGCAGGAAGCTTCGTCTTTCACTGTCCACTTCCTTCAGATGCATCGTTCAGTCACGAAGTCATATTCCCCGGGGCTGATGGAAAGACGTCTCCGTATAAGTGTATCTTGCCAAACGTGGTATCACCCTGAAGGGAGCCCACTGGCCTGGCCGGAGACCCCAGACACAGCGGTGGATGCAAATCCCTTCTATTAGCGGAGTTCCAACTTGAAAAGCCAACTGGGTTCATCAAAAACAACCATCCAGGCGATTCCCAAAATCTCAGTTAAGGAGGTTGATTTTCCCCCACCCTCATCGTGAGTCACGCCCTCTGCATCCCCTTCCCCATTTTAACTTGGGGTAATTGCTTTCTCGCATTCGGATTTTCTTGTAGACGCGTCCATAGCCCTCCATTTGGGGGCTTCTTTTATTGCTCCTTTGTTACCAGGCTGCCGTACTGTAGCTTTCCGCCTTTTTCGTTCTCGAATGCCTATTTGCCTGGTATTGGCTTGTCTCCCTGGCAACGGCCAGGGAAGATTTGGAGCCCCCAGCGGGGGTAGGGGGAAAGGGCGGAGCCAACGGGGTGGAGGGGGCAGGGCGGCTGCTATGGGGAGAGAGCTGAGCTGGAGACGCGGAGACAGACCGGGAAGCAGATGGCCGCGCGAGGGGGCGGGCCCGGGCGGGGTGCGGGGGACCCCGAGCTCGTGGGGCGCGAGGGAGCCAGTCAATACCCCCAGCAGCTCCAGGGCTAGAAAGCTAGTGTAAACACTTAGATTCACTCCGCGTCAGCGGTTCCTAGTTTGTAGTAGAAAAGATGATTTCCTTTCCTTAGGAAAGCGCACTGCTAGCGTAGATTGGGAAGATGACGGTTGCCAGTAACTAGCAGGGGAAGGCAGTTTGCGGGGAGCTGCTAGGGGACACTGAGCTCCGGGCCAAACTCCCCCCAACCTCTCCCCGCGTAGGACCTGCCCAGGGAAAGCCAGGAGTTGGGGGGTCGTGGGGACGAAGGAGCAGGAGCGGCGAGGAAGGAAGGGCTGGGAATTGAGAAGAGGTTATTCTGCCTCGGGAACTACAGCAAGGCAGGGAAAGACCAGCAAGACTGGAGCCAGTAGTAAGTTGTACAGTGTAAGTATGTAGTTCCTCAGGACTCTGGTAGTGTCACACCCAGAGCTAAAGGTTTCAAATAAAGCACTAAATATGTAAGTAAGGATTGTATAAATTATGACTAAGAGGTCATAGTGAGAATATAAAATGGGTAAATGGCTGTAACTAACTGAAAGGGAAGAAAACAGGCATTTATGGAACATTATTCAGCCATAAAAAGGAAATCCTGCCATTTGCAACAACATGGATGGATCTAAAGGGTATTTTGCTCAGTGAAATAAGTCAGGAGGAGAAAGACAAATACCGTATGATTTAACTTATTTGTGGAATATAAAAACAAAGCAAAACAGAAGCAAATACCGTATGATTTAACTTATTTGTGGAATATAAAGCATCATTAGACTCACAGACACAGTGACTGCTGGTTGCCAAGCAAGAGAGAGTTGGTGGCATGGATAAAAGGGCAGGATAATTCACAGCCACAATATAAGATAATCACGGGAAATATTGAACCACTGTGATACACATTTGAAACCAATATTAATATTGTATATTAATGATACTTTAATTTTTAAAATATCTGGGCAACAGAATAGACAGATGTACAGAAGATAAAGTATATTAGTTGTTGCCTAGGGCTGGGAGGGATGGCTGGAGGTGGGTCTGACTGCTTAAAAGGCAAAAGGTAGGTTTCTATTTGGGGTGAAAATGTTCTAAAATTTGTGTTTATGGTTGCAAAAACCGTAAATACACTAAAAATACACTACAATCATGAATTGTACAATTTAAGTGGGTGAATTGTATGGTACGTGAATTTTACCTCAGTAAAGTTGTTATAAAAACGAACAACCCAACCTCAGGCATTTATATTTCAGTTGTACTCTTCATTAAGCACTAGGATAGTTTTAGGATGATGATAATCTGTGTATAGTTTCTTCTAGAAAAACCATTTATTTAGGACACTTCAAAGTTCTTTTTTCTTAAAATGTTAGCTCTGGAAGGAATTTTTAGAGATCTTTCCACAATTTCTTGAGTGTGTGTGCCAGACATACTGACCTAGGCCTTGTTTTCACATTAGTGAACAAAATAGATGCCCCTTGCCTCATGGAGCTTACGATTAAGTAGATCATCTAGTTCAGGTGAACTGGATCATCTAGTTTCACCCTCCCCCTCACCAGGTGAAGAAATAAGCTCAGGGAAGTTGCCAGATAGCATGGTAGAGCCAGGAATGGAGATCACTTGCTTCATGATTCCAAATCCCAGCTGCTTCCACTAGATCATGGTGCTGGCTAGCCTTCCACTGAGGGCATAGATTCACTGATAGGTCAGTCATTTGTTCCTAAAGGATTTATTCTGCTCCTGCTAAGTACCAGGAAGAGGACTAGACATCAGTTGACACCAGAGAGGAGCAGGGGCTTAGTCTTTCCTTTCATGCAGATTCCACTTCATTTTATTATTTCTTAAACCTTCTTAGAATATGAACAAAGAGCACGAAAGATGAGATTACCTGTGTACTTAAAACACAATAAAAAAGATGTCCACTTTGTAGATTCCAAAGTAAGATAGCATTCATTCATTCATTCACAAAATACAAGATCCTGCTATGTTTATGGTGGTGTGCTCCATTTTTCATCTTATGTATCATATTACCTGAACTTTAATTCCACATAAATAAATTAGTTGGGAATATAGTGTATAGCAAAACAGACACAGCCCCTCATTTATATAACAGATTATTTACTGAATTTCTATCATGTGCCAGGCATTTGGAACATATCAGTGAACAAAAGAGACAAAAAATCTATATGGAACCTACTTTCTAGAGTGGGGAGAAAAAAATTAATAAATACAAGCAAGCAAATTATATGGAACATTAGGAGTACACATGTTGTGGGGAGACTAGAGCAAAGTAAGGCAGATGGCAGTGCAGGGTTCAAATTCTATGTGGAAGGTGGGAAAGGACTCACTGAGAAGATAAACTTTGAGCAGACTTGAAGAGGTAAGGGAGTTGATAATGGTGCTTCTAACCTCACAGGAGAGGGAGAAGGAAGTGAGAACTGAACAAAAAAATTACAAACAGGAATCTAAATTTTAAATGGCCATATGTCCTCTGAGAGGAAATATACCATACATCAGGTAGTCTAATTTAGTTAGGAGGATTAAAGAAGGCCTCTCTGAAGAAGTGACATTTAATGGCTGCCTAGAGGATAAGTAGGCATTAGAGAGGCAAAGAGGTGGAGAGTTGTATTTTGATAAAAGAAATAGCAAAACATCTGAGGAGGGAAGTGTTCACATGGGTTGGGGAGGAAGATTGAGAGATTAGTTTGGACATTTTTTGACATGCCTATAAAATATTACAGTGTAAAGATAAAAATGCTGATATAGAAATGGAGCTCAAAGACTAGTTTCGAATATAAATATAGA